CTCTTTCAGTGTGATTTGACCCTTAGACCACTGAACCCTTCACTTTATACTTAAAACACTTAAAGAGGTGATAACCCAGGATGCCGATGATTGATGATGATGAAATAATACATTGAGATTACAGCTCGAGATCTAAGTAACGTCTCAGCCGAAACACATTTGATCCATAAGGTCTTAGAAACTGTTTAAGACTCGATACTGCCTCAGGTCGAATTAAATTATTTCCCGTACTAACACGGTTCATTTTGCTGGGGTCCAGCGGCAGGGGCACTGGCTTTATATCATAATTTATTGTTTTACAAACGAAATTATAACGAGTAACTGTAGAGCTCCTTGTGAAAGATTTCGTCCAGGATAGTACTGCCATACCATACCTATTTCTGCCGCCAAGCAGTAATGTCAGCATTACTGTGTTCCGGTTTTGAAGGGTGGGTGCTGGTAAAATTACTGGCACATGGGACTTGTCAACTTTTGTCTCAGGTGACGGGCGCAGTGGTAGTGCCCCTCAGATCTTTGCAATTTAAAGCTCTGAGTGGCATTGTAACTGTTATGGACAGGCGTGTAGCTTACCATCAGGCGCACGACTAGTTCGCTCTGTCACGTATAAAAAAAATTAAGCCATTTGAAAAACGAACACATCGTATAGTATACGTTTTCTATTTAGTTCAGTTGATGTTTAAAAAATCATTGGTATGTGTAAAGTACCTATTGAATACTTGAATACAACGGTTTGCTTGTAAAATTTACGAGGTAAGTTTCGTTTTTTTTCTATCGTGAATATTTTTAGGAATCGTGTTTTCACACCGTATAGTAATCAATGTACATCCTCAATTATTTTACATATTTTTTTCAAAGTCATTTATTCAACACTTTCACTATTATACGGATTCAACCAAAGCCATTTGAGGTTGCATAGACTCCTAAGTAATTTTAAATCGAATGCAACAAAATTATGTTTTATTGCTTATACAACTGCTTGTACACACAAACCAACTACTCCGATTTATTCCCAAACACCACTCGGAACATCTGTTGTAACATTGTTGGCCATCGGTAGGTATATAATCCACAATTTCACTAACATCCCGCCCCAGTGACCGGCAATTAATCGTCGTCGATTAAACCCAGGAATGCTTAATTACAGCTGCACTTACAGATGCCTTGTCCAGATTTATGGTGGCATATTGGATGTGGCGAGAGACGCGATCGTGCGAAGTGATAAGTCGCTATGTGTCATCCAGGATTGCTAGGATTCGTGTAATGGCGTGTGTCCGTGTAAATTAACATAATTGCCGCATTCCAGAGATACTAGAGCTTGCTTTGTATGTGCTAGGATTTAAAGAACTAACAGAGTACTAATTAAACTAAGTGGACATTCGTCACATGTTATTGTTATCTCTACGCTTGTAATAAACACGAAGCGTCTAATAAACAACCAACCTGTTATTGCCGCTGAATTTAGCCAACGAATTTCTTGTAAAAACTACATCTAAAGAAAAGTCCTTGAGATAAGGAAAAACCCTTTTCCGGGCAATTGAAATTTTTCACGCCCTAATCCTGTCCCGGGCGCTGTGCAAAGAACAATCGCGGAAATCGTTTCCGCAGTAATTTGTCACTGTAATGCAAAGTGACCAATCCAAGTAGCCAGGTGTTAAATAGGGTTGACTACAACAAATACTTGGTTATTATTAAAATTCACTTAGCTAATTAAGCTATTTTGTTCTTTATTCCATTAAACTTAACTTCGAGGTGTCGCAGAACAACAATTTCTGAACATTTAGAGCGGTTACACACGCGACTTTAAGCAGCGATGCAAACGCGATGCAGTCGTTAATCATCAACCACTCGTAGAATTACATCAAACTACCTACATCTCATAAGAAACGTTTAATTTTAAACCTTATCGCGTCTAACTTGCGTGCGCAATCACATCCGTCGCAGCACGATTATATCAGTTGTAACTGATGTTTACACCTTTACACATGCATGAGTTCTCACGCACGCGTTCACCACAAACGCGCTTCGACGCATGAGTTTCATATGTGAATCCCGATTTACCTTTTTATACAAAGAAAATTGTACGAAAAGGTCAATGTACCCAGCAAAAATCAGTCCAATTCACAACCCTAATATACGCGAATATTTGCGAAATGTCCGCAGGGCTGCACAGGCCGGGATGCAGGTGGCATTCGCAATTTAGCCGCGTCTGAGGAGCGATAAATCGCAGAGGAATGTTGTACTCCGCAGCAATAGGGCGAACGGTCTGATAACGATGGAATGTAATGTCGACTCAATATTGCAATTGCTTTGTTATTTAGATCCTTAGTAGTTTCACATAGATGTCATGGCGGAATTGTGTGGAGAGATTTACGAAGGCACTTTGGTTTAGTCGTGCATGAACACTAGACTATAGGACATTCTATGATTCATAAACTGTAATAACCCTTATACCTTAGAATAATAACGCATAGAAACCTAGCCCGCACACGCTAAGTGAGGCAAGTTAGAGGGTTCCAAACGCGTCCCAGGAGCGCGCGGGCTGTTAGTGCTCAAGGTCATATTGCACCGCGAACAGCTCCAAAATTTTTTGCTAAAAATGACGAAATGTGCGGTAAATGGGTGTAAAAATACAACAGACAAACAAAATAGATACTAACATCGCATTCCACAAGTAAGTAATGCGTTTCAACTCATATTCTTATGTAAATATTCACTAAAACAGAAAAATAATTTCGCGGCAACAAGATACGAAAGTGTTGCAAAGTAACGAATCTTTTTTCTCCCCATTTTGCTATTCTGTATCAAAATAATTATATTACGTAAATTTTAGTGGTGCCTGTAATTTCGATTTATTTGCGCATTTTGAACTAATATTTACTCGAATAAACATTAAATGTTTTCGTTAACTCCTGTAAGTGATTGGGACACTTAATTATTTTATAATACTTTTAACGGCTCTGCGTTCATGCTTTATTGAATAATTATTTATATTAATTTTATTTGAATTGGAGCACATATTGCAACAAATTTACAGTATATATTTGTTTCTACTATAGTGTTGGCACCACCAGTACAACTTTGATAGCTTATTATATGTCTTTCTTTTCGTAACTCAAGCGAAATATTTTATATTAAAATATTTTATTTTCTTAAAAGAGGAGCATTCTTAAGCGATTTTTTAATCTATTTTAACAGTTATTTTCTTTAATGTTTGCTTATGGCATTTTCGGTTTTAGGTTTCGAATATGGCACTTATTTCTAAATCCAAGATGGCGGGCGCGATTTTTCGAATAATGGCAAGTTGGGTATCGTTTTCGAGATGTTTGGGAATGTTCAATACAAATATGGCACTCATTTCTAAATCCAAGATGGCAAACACGACAGTTCAAACAAAAGCAATATTCGTAATGAGCACCCCCAAATACCTCGAAAACGATACCCAACTTGCCATTATTTGAAAAATCGTGCCCGCCATCTTGGATTTACAAATAGTGCCATATTCACATTGAGCATCCCCAAATACCTCGAAAATGATACCCACATAGCATTTTTTTGAAAAAATCGTGCCCGCCATCTTGGATTTACAAATGAGTGCCATATTCGTAATGAGCACCCCCAAGTACCTCGAAAATGATACCCATATTGCATTTATTTGAAAACTCGTGTCCGCCATCTTGGATTTAGAAATGAGTGCCATATTCGTAATGAGCATCCCCAAATA